TTGTCTTCAAACTGTATTTTAACCAGCACTAGTAACAGTTTCTGCTCAGAATAGGTCCATGAAAATACTTAATGAATAAAACCTTAAGTCTGGTAAAATGAAATATTATTTAAAATATTTTAAATACAACATATAATTCACATAGGCTGAAAAATTTATATGAAAGCACATATAAGTTTTTAATGGAGAAACCTCAGTCCTTTATAACAAGGATAAACCACATTATCATCTTTACCTTTTTTTTTTTTTTTTTGAGGTACGCGGGCCTCTCACCACTGTGGCCTCTCCTGTTGCTGAGCACAGACTTCAGACGCGCAGGCTCCGCGGCATGTGGGATCTTCCCGGACCAGGGCACGAACCTGTGTCCCCTGCATCGGCAGACGGACTCTCAATCACTGTGCCACCAGGGAAGCCCCTATTTTTACCTCTTGAAATACTAAATATTCCATACTAAAGACAAAATACAAAGCAATCTATTAAACGTCCTAGATATATAAAAAAATTAAAATTTTCCCATGTGTCTTGAATCTGCTTGAAAGGAGACTGGAAGTTGCAACTATGTTCTAACCACAAGGCTGAACGAACCAAAAAATCAACAACTTTAAGAAAAGTAAGGTCACAGAGCCAACAACAATTTTCAGTTGAACCGATAATTGGAGAGACAGAGAGGCAGACAAAAAGAATCACAACTTACCGCAGTGGAAACTCATGAGTTGAAACTCCACCAGAACCTGGTTCCAGAGTAAAACAAGAAAAAAACCCTGAACTGTAATTAACAAATTGCTGGAGGTTCCGAGCAGACAAGTCCAAGAAGTAAAAACTCCAAGGGACCCAGTCATAGGTGGGTCTCTCCATGCAACTGTTTCACCTGCAGGAGCTCAACCAAGTTCTCATAGTAAATACTGGAGAAAAAGACTCTGGAGCTTCCAGCGGGGACAGAGAAAAAGGAACTATTTTGAAATACACCTGAGCATACTGTTCTTTTTAAAAAGGCCTGCCCACAGGTAAGACTATTTAACCATAGCCTTACCTACTGAGGTTTTGAACCTAACTGACTTGCTGGGAGGGAAACACCCAACTGCAGACCATACTAGTCATCCTGTCCCACAAAAGGGAGAATGAGAATTATATATGCAGTTCACAGTGCAGAGTTATAGGCTCACTAAAAGACTGAGACCCACTCATTGAACTCTGAACGCTTCCCGTCCCCCCACACCCCACCATCACATTACTAAAGGCCTATTTACAGCAACTGCTTTTACCCAGTGCATCATGTCTATCACGAGAAAAATTACAAGGCACATCAAAGGCAGCAATTACAGTTGGAAGAGGCAGAGGAAACATCAGAATCAGATACGCCAGGGATGCTGGGATTATCAGACTATTTCTGCTAACGCCTGTCTCGTTTAAAACACTGGGACCATCTTTCATGTTCCTGAGCAAAGGAAACTTCTTTCAAGGTCTGATCACACTGATACCAAGAATTTAATTCTTCTTTTCCAGAAAAATCAGAGTAAAATACTTTAAAAATACAGAATTGCAAAAACATAGCTGTGGAAAACATAGCAAGGGGTCAACTTAGAAATAAGCTCTGAGCAAACTTCTTCATCATGAACACAGGGGCTCTGTTGGAAGATTCCAAGTCAATCCAGCCCATCCTTCATCAACTGCAGTGACAATTAAGAAGGACCTGAGGGGGCTTCCCTGGTGGCGCAGTGGTTGAGAGTCCGCCTGCCGATGTAGGGAACGCGGGTTCGTGCCCCGGTCCGGGAAGATCCCACATGCCGTGGAGCGGCTGGGCCCGTGAGCCATGGCCACTGAGCCTGCGAATCCGGAGCCTGTGCTCTGCAATGGGAGAGGCCTCAACAGTGAGAGGCGCATGTACCACAAAAAAAAAAAAAAAAAAGAGGGACCTGAGGGAAACATCTTCATGTCACCTCACAGCTCACGATTTTCACAGATCACATAAAAGGGAAGGCAATGTATTATTATTAAGCTAACTGGTTAAACTAAGTTTTAACTTAATAGAGAAGATCACTGACATCTTTCCAAGTCCTTATCAAAATAGTCAAATTATTTACTAGTTACCAAAGAACATTTCCTGTATATAACTTAATGAGGAGAAAGCAGGCAGGCCTCGAATAAGCCTGAAACATTTTAAAAAGAAACATTTTGTGAAATTCAAAAAATTTATTTATTTATTTATTTTTGGCTGCGTTGGGTCTTTGTTGCTGCGCGCGGGCTTTCTCTAGTTGCGGCGAGCAAGGGCTTCTCAGCATGGTGGCTTCTCTCGCTGCGGAGCACAGGTTCTAGGCATGCTGGCTTCAGTAGTTGTGGCTCGCGGGCTCTACAGCGCAGGCTTAGTAGTTGTAGCGCACGGGGCTTAGCTGCTCCGCGGCATGTGGGATCTTCCCAGACTGGGGATCGAACCCATGTCCCCTGCATTGGCAGGCGGATTCTTAACAACTGCGACACCAGGGAAGCCAGTGAATTATTTATAAATCTAAAAATTCCGGTGTCAAAGTTTAAAAAACTTGAGAATATATCATATTTAGAAAAGTAGTACACGAGTTGATTATAGAAGGTCACCAAAGCTTATTCCAGAAGTTAAGAATTATTTACAGGAAAGTTCAAATTGTACATACTAAAATTTATTCCAAGCTGTGTAAAGAAATGATAAAGAAAACGTAAATCCATCACAAAAACAACACTTCCAGTTGTTCTTTTACAAAGGTACCATGCGGTGACAGAGTCAATCATTTCTTGCCCCACCTGTCCTCTCCCTACTCCTCTGCTCCACATCAGGAAAAGGGAAGGGGGTGACTCACAACTGAGTGAATCAAGTCACTGCCCCCTGGCTGAACATGGTGGGCAAATGTTATCTTCGCATACAAATAATTCCAAAATGCACAAGCCTTGCAGACAGCACCTTTGCAATTCCCATCCTCATCTGCAAAATTTAAACAAAAAAAAAATTTTTTTTTTTTTTTGGCCGCACCATGCCACATGCAGGATCTTAGTTCCCCAGCCAGGGATCGAACCTGTGCCCCCCGCAGTGGAAGCACGGAGTCTTAACCACTGGACCACCAGGGAAACCTCAATTTAAACAAATTTTAAATGCATTAGATTCTAAAGACACAAATCAGTATTATCACAACTTAATCATCCACATCCAAACAACTCACCACCCATCTGAATCCAGTTTCCCCCTCCATCTGCACCACTAGGTATTTCCATTTCATTCTGTTTCTCTGTCTCCCTATTTCTTTCTCTGTCTCTCTTCTTGTTCCCCTCCACTCTCCTGTTTCTTCCCTCCTCTCTATTTCTTCCCTCACACCTGTCCTGCTCTGCAACCGTTTCCCCTCTTGTTGCTCTTTCTGCCCAACCAGACTGCCCTCAATGTCCATTACTTCTGCTTCTTTCTTCCCCCACCCCTCCTCCCTCTCTGCCCTCTCGGTTACACCTTTTCTGAGACAGGACAGAAGGGGACAGGGCGCAACCTTTAGAAGAATGACACAGCTGTTGAGAACACGACAAAAACTGGTTATAACCGATCAGGCCCGACTTCCAGTAGACTCAGCCTCGTTATAGGCTCACTGTAATGCATTAGCTAAATGACACACCCACAGGCGCCATGACAGTTCTAAGGCCAACTATATAAAAGGCCCAGAAATGGGCAGTTGCCCAATTCCTGGAAATCTCCGCCTCTCCTCGAAATAGTTGGAATAATCCTCCCACTCATTAGACTATGAAATTACTCAGCCCCTAAAAACTAACCACGCCATAGTCTGGGGCCGCTCTCACCTTCTGAGACGCACTGCATTCTGTCTAAGGAATGTGCATATCCCAGGGCCTCCCGCCTTCTGAGGGCCTACATTCCGTCTACGGAGTGTGTATCTCTCTCAATAATCTACTTCTTACCTATCACTTTGCCACTCGCTGAATTCCTTCTACGCTGAGATGTAAAGAACCTGAGCTTCATTAAGTCTTGAGACCACGTGTGCGATGTTAATTAAAAGACAGTGGGTTCGAGTCCCAATCTGAGGTGTGTGGTTTCACTTCTCTCCCTGTTACACTCCCTTCCTCCCAACTCTCTAGCACCCCGTGGGGATGCTTCTTTCCCGCTCTCTCTCTCTCTCTTCCTCTGCTCTTCTAGTCACTAGTCCTCTTTCTCTCCCAGCACCAAGCTGCTCTGAAGGCCAAGGTTCCAACTCTTTTATTCTCTCCCCCAGTTCCATGTGTGAAGGGCCTCATCACTGTTACTCCCCCGCTACCGCTGATCCAGAGCCCCTCTCTCTATGTTGCTCTCCAATCCCTGGAGATCCGGCTTTTTAATTGACTTCTCTATTTTATTCACCTGCTACAATCAAGGCTTAATCACTTTCATTTTCCGTCTCTTTACAAGTCCTCGGCCACTCTCTATGATCCCATCGGTTCTCCCCCATTCTTTTCTCCTTCTCAGTTTTTCTATTTCTCTCAGTCGCTCTGTCTCAGCTTCTCCTGATTCCCCTCGCCCCCATATTTACGGTAATGGCGACTGAATAAGATGCCCGCGCACAGAAAAGGACCATTTTCCAATGGAGGTGGTGTCACACGGCTGGCCCAGGTCACCTCCCCCTACACGGGGTGAGGGGAAGGGCTGACTAGGAAGGGGAGGCCTGGGGAGCAGAAGGACCGGCCTGAGGAGACGCGAGGACAGGGGCGCTGGGAGGGAGGGGGGCCTCAGGAGAGGGGCGGGCCCTGCAGAACCCCAGAACCGGGAGAGGACGCGGCCTGTCCGGGAGCGGGGCGGCCGGCGCTGCCCTCCAGGGGCCGAGGAGCGAGGCTGGGGGGCGCGAATCCACCTCGCGGAAGAGGACTTTATAGGGGAAGGCGGAGGTAGTAAAGGATTTAAAGCAGGAAAATGTCACGAATAGAGGTGTCTACCTGGACCGAAGGTAGAAAAGCCAAGGGCACCAGGACCCGCCTCAGAACGATTTCAAACCCAAAGGAAAACATACCCGACCTGTAACGGCGATGTCTGGATTTACCGGGTCGGAGGGCCAGCTGCTGGGAGTTAAGGTCCATAGTGACTCCCAAGACCCTGAGGGTGGAGTCAGCGGGACCGCGCAGCACAGATTTACACTACAAACGAGAAACACGCTGGGCAGTGCAAGCTCCAGTCCGCACTGTCCGCTTCCCGGTCCATAATAAGCTGCGCGCGCAGAGTCTCCGGCGGGGCTTCCGGGGGCGGGGCCTGGGCGCCATCCTTCGAGGGGCGGGGCGAGGAAGGAGCCGAGCCCCGTTCAGGGAACGCCGGGCTGCGGGGCTGGTGATGGGGAGGGAGGGGTAGTTCCCCCTGCCTCGAAACTGCTCATTTTCAGTGTCTGTCCGGAGAAGGGACTGCGACGCGCAGGTTTAAGCTAGAAAAACAATGTTAACTCACGGCTCCCAGTGTGACCTTCGCTCCGCACTATTCGCTTCCCAGTCTGAAAGAAACTGCGCGTGCGCATCCGGGCTACGGCCGGGACCTGAGCGGAGCACCAGCAACAAGGGGCGGGGCGTGAGGAGCCCAGGCCTGCGCAGCGACTGCGAGAGGGAGGGGCGCGTGCCGGCTAGGGGCGTGGTCTGCGCGTCTCTTAGTTTCCCTCCCAAGCTCTTTTCAAAGTGTAGACATGCTTGAGGATCTTTGTGTCGTGTGAGGTAGCATTGCTTCCAGCTTAGTTTAAGTTATTGTCTTTAATAGTTTTACAGTAAAAGCTTACAGTTGAGTGGGCCACTTATTTTGGAAATTAAGATATTTTCTTTTTAATAAGCTGAAAACGGTTTAAGTCAGAACCTATTTCTGCCAGAGGGTTGAACGCCCGTCCTGAACTGAGAGAACTGGGATCTCAGTGAGGGATTGATGTGGGGTGGTGTTTGGAGCCAGGAACATTTCCTGCAGTTAGAATTAATTTAAGCAGTTTAAATAAACAGCAACTGGAGTTATCTCTGTAGGGATTACACAAACCTCTCCCTGGGTAGAATGGGCTCTTTAATACTAAAACTCTGTGAACAGCATTTTGTTTCTAGTCTCCATTCACCCAGGAGGCCAAATTTAACTGTGTTCAGTTCCAGAGGCTCTGATGGGGACAAGACCTGGATGTGAGGAGTGGAGGGCTAAGCAGTGACAATTTAGGTCCCTAATCTTTGCTTTAAAAAAGAGCAAAAGTTTTTTATGAACTGTATAAATTTGTCGACAAAAAAAAAAAATCAATAGTCAATCTAAGGTAGAAATGGAATATTTTATTTAAGCCAATCTGAGGATCATAACCTGGGAGACAGTCTCTCCGAGAGCTCTGAGGACTGCTCAGAAGAGGTACGGGTGAAGGCCAGTATATATGTGATTTTGGGGAAGAGATACAGTGCAATACAAGCACACGTATTGGAAGAAGGTTACTGCTATTGGTGAGGAACAGCTGTCTTAGTTAATGGTTTTAGTGCTTTTTTTTTTTTTTTTTTTTTTTTTT